TTTTTTTTTTTTTTTGGTACCGGGGATCAAACTTGGGACCTTGCAGTTTCGAGGCACGTGGCAGAACCACTGAGATAAATCCCTAGCCCGCTTCTTTTATATACAGTGATTTTCATTTATTAAGAAAGCATTTCCTCCTCCAAGATGTAAAATACATCCATGAATGTTTTCTCGAGTGTTTTAATGTTCTTTGTTTGGCATACAGGTCCTTAATCATCTGGAGCTGATATTTGTGTAGGGTGTGAACAGGAATCTTCATCTTTTTCTCCACTGATCTGATCCTCCATCTCTTACTGCAGGCAGAGTTCACACATGAGCAGGACTGTGAGGGCTTATTTCTGCTCTTTCAGTCATTTTGTCTCTTATCTGATCCTGTATCAAATGATTACTGTTATAAGCTTCATAGTAAGTTCTTATAGCTGATAGGAAAAATGGCCCCTTTTACTTGTGAACATTACTACTCCTTTTACCTTCCATTTAAATTTTACAGTTGTCTTTAAACATTTTATCCAAAACTCTATTTGAATTTTATCAGAAACACTGTTGGGATTTTATCAAAATCTCTACTGGAGGGCCGGGGATTTAGCTCAGTGGCACCACGCCTGCCTCGAAAGCGCAAGGTCCTGAGGTTCAATACCAAGTACTGGGGGAAAAAAAAATCTCTACTGGAATTCTGAGAGAAGAATTTGAATATTCCTATCCAAGAATATGGTACACCTTTCCACATTTCATTTTGCTTTTTTTTTGGTACCAGGGATTGAACTCAGGACCTTGCGCTTTTGAGGCAGGCAGCAGAACCACTGAGCTAAATCCCCGGCTCCTTTTTTTGGCTTTTTTGAGACAGGGTTGCACTATATAGTTCAGGCCAGCCTTGAACTATGTAGTCCAGGCTGGCCTTGAACTGATGAAGTGATCCTCCTGCTTCAACCTCCCAAGTGCTGGGATTACAGGCATGTGCCACCCACGCCTAGCCAAACTTTCCATGTTTTATAATTTTCCCTATAGAGATCCTGGACATTATATTTTTTACTAGGTATTTGATATTCTCTATGGTAAATGGTGACTTCTTGCCAGGCATGGTGCCACATGCCTGTAATCCCAGCACTTGGGAGGCTGAGGCAGGAGGATCACTTCATCAGTTCAAGGACAGCCTGAACCTCATATTGAGACCCTGTCTCAAAACACAAAAACAAACCTGCAGGTCTGATCCACTCACGAAGCCTATATCCCTGTGATTGAATGATCTCCCAAAGGCCCTATTTCTCAATAACAGGATTTCAACACTGGAATACTGAGGGGACACAAGACACTTGGGTCTGTTGTAAATTACAAAGAACTCAATGCTCTGTTATGTTTTTCTTCCTCTTGCCTGCTGTCCTCTCCTTCTGGGACTCCCGTTTGTATACTTCGGTCTGCATCATTGTGTCCACAGGTTTCCTTTTCAGTTTTGGTTTTGAGACAGGGTCTCATGGTGTTGCCAAGGCTGTCCCCAAGCTCCCAGGCTCAAAGTGGTCCTCCTGCTTCAGCCTGCAGAGGAACTGGGATTATAAGCCCATGCCACGATGCCCAACTCGTTGTTTCTTTGTTCCTCCTCCTCTTTGGCCTTCAGCCGGAATAACCTCCACTGACAGATCTTTGTTTGCCTGTTCAGATCTGCTGTTGGGCCTCTGCAGTGGGGTTTCTGTTTTGGGGGTTCTGTTGGGTGGCTGCTCTGAGACAGGCTCTCACTATGCAGATCAGGCTGGCCTTGAACTCAGTATTTATCTTGGGCCTCAAACCTGGAGAGAACTTGGGGGATTCTTCCTGCCTCAGACTCCTGAGTGCTGGATTACAGCTGTACGCCATCATGCCCAGCTAGAAAAGGCTTTTCCAGGGCAAGCGCCAGTGTGAAGTAAGCTCACCCCCCTGTGGGTGGGTCTTCGCAGGACCACTAGGGAGGCAGACAAGGAGCTTCAGACAGACTCTGGAGCCTGTTTAATTTCCTGAGTTTGGAAGAAGTTGGTTGTGATGACTTTTGGCAGTTTTTCCATTTTTTCCTGCCATTTTTACTCAGTCACCCTGAAGTCACCGATTCTTGCTCCTTTTTTATGTGATGTCTTCCTCTCTGTAAGCTTCTGGTAACTGCTGTCTTCCCTGCTTAAGCCATCGTGTGTCCATCTTTTCTCTCTTGTCACTTTATGAACTCTTTCACTTTGTTATCGTTTTTTCCCCTGATCCCAGCAGATTTTTTTTCCATTTTAATGTCTTTATTTCTGTGCAGGACTCTTATTATCTAGATGTTAGGCCTTCTACTTCTGTCTTCCATATCTTAGGGTTTCATTGTTGTTTGTGGTACTGGAGATTGAAGCCAGCCCTCTACCCTTTTAAAATTATTACTTATTTTGAGGCAAGGTCTCAGGTGTTACACAGATTGGGCTCAAATTTCCAATCCTGCCTCAGCCTCCTGACTACTGGGATTAGCGGCATGTGCCCCACTCCCAGCATGTTTTTTAAAAAATAAATTTTATTTCATCCCATTTCCCCCAAGCTCCCTCCCCTCCCTATACACAAAGGCATTCTTTCCATTTTTTGTTTCTATTTTCACTTTTTTTCTTCCTTCCTTTCTCCCTCCCTCCTCCCTTGTTCCCCTTCCCATCTGAACCCTCTCTTCCCATTTCCCAACATCCATTATACACTTCAGTCCTTATTTCCACTTTCGGTTTCTTACACCGAGAAACAACGCAGTATTTAAACATGTGT